ACATTGAATAATAATTATTGTTGTTGGCTGGGCTTGGTGTTATTGAGTTATTCCAATGCGACTTTATCAAAGTGGGTCAAGCTATTCAATAGCGACCGCAGTCGACGAGAAACGACCCGTCTTAACGTCGCGTGGGAGTGTATGTACTTTATAAAAGACACACAGAGCCACGCAAATGTCTTTGTAATAATGCTCGACAGCCCCGGAGGAAGGCTCGTTCGATTGGACGCGTGCGTCAATCCTTCTCTCTCTCTCTCTCTCTCTCTCTTTCTCTCTCTCTCTCTCTCTCTCTCTCTCACTCTCTCTCTTTCTCTTTCTTTCTTTTCCAAAATATCCCTTACAAAATATTTCTAACTTTTGAATTATTAGTTCATAATAACCTTTAGGACATGTCAAAATTGAAGATCATTCACTTCTTATTGTACTAAGTAGTAGAAAGAAATTTGTTCAACATTCGACATGTCATCAATTTTTCAAACAGGCAAGATTCATTATGGAGAAATCTCCTGGTGAGAGTTAGGATAATATATGACCTTCATAAAACGAAAGAAAGGAAGGTAGGAAGGAAAAGGACGAATTATAGTGCAAATATTGTCCATTAGAGTTCGTAAGTAATTTTGCTCATAAATCAACATCGTGAAATATTTCAAAATAGTGTAAAAATTGAAATATACATAAATAAATAAATAAATAATAATAAAGATAAGTAAATAACAATATCTCAGCAAAGATATACAATTCGAATTCTTGAAATTCTACAAACGTGCAAATAATTGCACTGTGTCCAGATGTATACAACGTATCTATAAGGTGATAGACAGTTACTTTCATTCTCATTCAATAAAGTGAAAGTAAACAAATTTGCAATATTTCCGTTAGGACTAGAGTAGACATTTATCTTAATACAATGAATTTCGTACTTAAGTTTTTTGAAAGCTTTACGATCGAACATAATTTATAAAGCTTTAAAGGTACTGATGTTCTAACGGAATTGCGTAAATTTCGGAAAATAGCGTAACAAATACGTGTCAACGCCGCAGGTAGATGTTGACTTCTACCGTATTGTCAAGGTTACTACAAGGGAAACATCCTGCAAGGATATTAACATTTTCTACTTTGGCACGCGCCAGCACACTTACGAAAAAGATTCTGTTTAAATAGGGTTTCTTTTTGAATGTATTTGGGGACTAGGCGACCCTTCCCGTTGCGTTGGGTTTCTCATAGAGCAGGTGTAAAAAAGGAACTAATGCTTTCATCGATTGTTGAAATTTCAAAGTAACGAACAAGATATATACTTAGTTTTGCCAAGTAAAATATAACTCGTTATTTCGTATTTCTTTAAAAGAGAATGAGAAAGAGAGAGAAAAAAAAAAGAAAGAAAAAAGATAAGGGATGAAAAGAGAAGGTTGACAAACATTTACGGCGCGAATAATAGAATAAAGAAACCTGAGTGCGAGCTCTTTCCTCGACGATATTTTCTCAGAACGCATAGGGTGACGGACGCGTGGCGCGTTCACGAAGACGCGCTTTCAAAGCTCTTTCCAAATCGAGGACAGCCTGTGTAGAGTCACGCTCTGAAAGCAATTCCGCTTTGAAATTTAATTGAAAACGCCTGTTGCGTCCTACCGACCGACGCGACGCCAAACGTCGCCGTGCGCAAAGTATTCTCGCCGAATATTTTAATGGCGCCAAATACAAAATGATTTTGCAAAAAGAAGATGATTGTAATGATCAATTTTCATGATTATTAAGAAAATTTTCTAAATAAAATAAGCGCTAATATACTTGCTTGTTTCCCTGAAAATCATCAAAAGAGAGATTGTCCCTGGTTTTGTAAACGTTGCGATCTATTACCAGAGATCGCCATTCATGCGGCGGCACCTGTTCTCATTTCAAAGGTACGGAATAGATCACGTCACTCAATTCATTCGTAAACAGAACGATCGAGTGCATTGTATGATTGCCACGCTTCTTTCCCTCTTGATCGGGAAGGTGCATGCGCGGAGGGGGGGAAATCCACGGAAGAAAAAGAGAGAGGTATAGCAGAATGGAGAGGGAACTATGACAAAGCCGAAGAGGTAAATAGAGGGTAGAAAAAGAGAGAAAAAAAAAAAGAAAGAAAGGAGAATTGCCAAGAGCGTAGCAAAGGGATAAGAGTGCAAAGAGAAAAGCAAATAGAGAATAAAAAAAAAAAGGTAAAGAAGAAGAAAAAAAAGAGCATTTAGAGGAAAGAACCATTGCGTGATCGTACCTGAAGCATCATTGGCGGGCAAATCGGTGAGCAGATCGAGCCTGATACGTGATTGCTGTTGTTGCTGCTGCTGCTGCTGCTGCTGCTGCTGCTGTTGTTGTTGTTGTTGTTGTTGTTGTTGTTGTTGTTGTTGTTGTTGCTGCTGCTGCTGTTGTTGTTGTTGTGGTTGCTGTTGTTGATGTTGCTGATGATGAAGAGCTTGTTGCGGCTGCTGGGATCCCGTGGTCAATGGTAGATTAGTTGCATTCGCGTGATTCTCCGTCAATATCGCGGCGGTATTCGAAGACGACGAGGACGAGCTAGAAGATGAGGTAGAGGAGGAGGAAGAGGGAGCGGCCGACGAGGAGGATGTCGTTGATTCCGTAAGGGTAGTCGTTGCGGTGGAATTGTTGTCTAGAGGTGCCACGGGCCCCCCTCCGCCCCTGCCACCTTCCCCCGAGCCTGTAGCCATTCGACCGTCGTGCATTCCTACGAACGAGCGAACGACGGACGGACGGACGGACGAACGGACGGACAGACGAACGAACGAACGAACGAACGAACGAACGAACGAGGCTCCCTCCCCCTTCAACGACACCTTCTCTTCTCCACCGTGTACGCACGCACGCACGCACGCACGCACGCACGTACGTACGTACGACGCACGCACGCACGCACTTGCTCTTCTCTCTTTCTCTTTCTCTCTCTCGCTCTCGCTCTCGCTCGTACGCTCTTTCGTTCGTTCTTTCGTTCGTTCTTTTTCCTCTCTCCCTCTCGCAGCCGTTCGCTCGAGCGCGCGCGCGCGCTCCCGCTCTCTCGAGAGCACCTACACAAGCATTTAATTCCCTCTCCGTTCAGTACGATCCGTTTCTCTCTGTGGCTCCTCTCTCGCACACCGCCGCACTCTCCCTCTTATTGCGGCCCGCGGGCGCGCGCACGACTCTCTCTGTCTCCGTCTATTGCCCGTCCCGTGCTCTCTCTTTCTCTCTCTCTCTCTCTCTCTCTCTCTCTCTCTCTTTCTCTGACTGGTTGGCTGGCTGGCGCGCGCTCGCTCTCTCACTAGCTCTCTTTCCCTCTCCCTCTTTCTCTCACTCGCTCTTTCTTTGAACTCTCCCCGCGCCGCCGGGCAGCACCGACAGAACGTTCCACGGCGAGAGAAACTGCTACACCGTGTCTCTCTCACTATCGAGAGCCGATCGACGTATCACACAACGGCGACATCGCACGCGTCCGTGTAAAATGGTGACCCGCGCGAATTCTTAACCTCCTGTTCGTCGGCTTGAAAAAATGGAACGTTAGAGAAATGTAGGTCTGTAGGCCACTTCACTTACACTTTGCATCGGGACGGGCACTCCCTTAGTCAAGCGAGCGTCCGGCGCACCGTCGCGCTCCTCTGACAGCGCGACCGACCTCCAGGGCCGTATCCTTCCAACGGATTTATCTTTGGGGCGCTTTCAGCAGCCGTCGCTAACCTCGACAGATTTTCGAGCAACATCATCGCGCTCCTCCGATTTTCCTTTCCTTTTTCCCTTCTTCTTTCTCTCTATCTTCTTACTACGCTTTTTTCCTTTTTCTTTTCTCTTTCTCTCTTTCTCTCTCTCTCTCTCTCTCTCTCCCCCTCTGCCAACAACTCAAAGACGATCTCGAGCGACTTATACTTTCCCTTTCTATTCGATTACCGACCCTACGTGATCTACGTCGTGTTTAATATCGTTCGCAGATAACAGAGATGATTCGTTTTGTGATACCGTGAAAAAATATTTCTTTTGGTTTTACTCAAAAGATTAACATCGGAAATAAATTAGCCAACTTGCACGCGGTTCCGTAACGCATGGCTACGGTAGTGCGTAACGAAAGGGAAAACCATCGGCATATAGAGTACAAAGAGACGGAGAAACCGTAAACCGACGAGGTTGTGCGACTCTGTGCAAGAGGATAATCCGTTCTTTTTGATTATTCCAAAATTAAGTACCGATACGAGAATTAATTCGACAAATTTCCTTCCTTCTACAATTATTAATTCCTTAGATAGATTGTATCTCTGTTGGGAGTCAAAGGGGAAAAGAGAAATTAATTAGACCGAGTGTAAACTTATCCGGGCGCCGGTGATCCCTAACGACGGCACTGAGCCTTCGGACGTGATATGAAAAGACGCAATTTGCGAAAGATTTCCACGATGTCTCCTGGTGCCTAAGAATTTCCAATCTTCGAATCGGTAAGCCGATGAACGTGTCCTTTGCGTATCCAAGCTCTTCGAGTTACGGCTCTCCAACAGAAACAGCCGCTTTGTCTAAGTAGGTCAGGTGTCACGATATCCAAGTGCCCTATCGACGAGCGTTTTTACACCGAACGTTGCATAACTCGTCGCGCACGACTTCACCAAATATAACCGCGTAAAAACTATGGCTTGACGGACGTAATGCGATGTAATCCGTTTTCATTGAACATTGCACTTGACTAACGCTTTCGTGCCACGTTAGTCGCGCCATCTACAACCTCTACCCGCCAAATTTAAAACTTGTCAAATATCTCGCCAGCCGAATGATTGACCTTCAAAAATATTTATTTATTTTTCATATAAATATTTTTTCTTACAAAAATAATTCATACCATAAATATATAATACAAAAACGTTTATAAAGCTTTTTATTCTCTCCCAATGTTTGTGATACTTAATCTATGCGCACACCTGTTATATATATCATATAACATTATATAATAAAAGCTTGTAGAAAGATATAAAGAATATATATATATATATATTGTTTTTCGAATCTTATCGATAACATATAAATATATCTTTTTATTGTAACTTCTTCGCAGCTTCACCAAAGTGATTTCTAGATATGATTAATCTTTGAATCTGCGATGTACCTTCATAAATTTGGAAGATCTTCGCATCTCTCATTAATTTTTCCACAGGATATTCTGTGTTAAATCCTGCACCACCAAAGACCTATAAAATTCGTATTGTATTATTTTTTCGATTTAACTCAAATTATGCATTAATTAAAATCAATTTTTCGACTCACTTGGACGGCATCGGTAGCGCATTTGTTAGCTACGTCAGCGGCATAACACTTGGCAATACTGGAATAAATGCTAGCATTTGGATAACAAACGTCTAGTGCCCAAGCTGCTTTCATCCAAGCGAGACGAGCCGTTTCAACTCCAATAACCATATCAGCGATCATAAATGCTACAGCTTGATGTTCCGCTATTGGTTTGTTGAAGGTTTTTCGCTCCATCGCATACTTGGTAGCTTCATCCATAGCTCTCTGTGCTAATCCAACAGCCATAGATGCTACCTGTGTTGTTGTCAAAATTATATGTCAATTCAATATTAATAAAGCATTTTCCTTATTTCTTATATAGTTTACCGGTGGTCGAGTTCTATCGAAGGTTTTCATGGCAACTTTAAAACCAGCTCCTTCTCCTAACAATACATTTTCCTCGGGTACGCGAACATCTTCGAACGTAATCATTCTAGTATCGGAAGCTCGTTGTCCCATATTTATTTCCTTTATAATGAAAATTTTTTTCTCGTTAAATATAATTTAGCGACGAAAGTAACATATTAAAATAACTTACTTTACGGCCTGGAGTTACGCCTTCAAAATCACGCTCAACGATGAATCCTGTAAAAGCTTTACTGGCTGGAGCTTTTGGATCAGGATCTGTTCTGGCCAATACAAAATACCTACAACATAACGATAAATGTAATTAATATCGCATATTATTCCGTGTATATATATATATATATATATATATATATATATATAATTTTTTTTTAATATAATATAATTTTTTTTTCAATTGAAAGACATTACCAATTTGCAAAACCACCATTTGTGATCCACATTTTTGTACCATTAAGAATCCATTCCTTTCCTTTTTTCACAGCTCTAGTTTTCAAACCTGCTACATCGGATCCAGCACCAGGCTCAGTAACGCAATAAGCCTAGAAACATTATAAATAATTATAATTAAATATAATTAAAAGGATAATAAGATAATAATATATATACTCTTTACTTACAGCTACAAGAGGTTCTTCTACGAGTCTTCCAAGATACTTTTTCTGTTGTTGTTCATTTCCTGCTTCAATCACTGGTGTTTGCTATAAATGAAAAAAAGAAAGTAAAAATGCATACTATTTACATTAAAGAATTTGTAAGTTCCTTTTAACGCTAAATATATGATATACTCCAAGACTGCTAGTTTCTATTGCAGTTGCTATCCCTGAGCAGCCATAAGCAAATTCCTCCGTTGCTAAACATCCATCAAAAATCTTTTGTTCCATACCACCTAAATACGATATTATATATTGAAATTGCAATACATTAGGTGACATAAAAAGATTATATATCAATAGAAATATTTTATAAATATTTTATGTAAACATACCGCAATGTTGTGGAATATAATTGGTCATAAATCCCAAGTTCCAAACCTTTTTAATAATATCCCATGGATATTCCCCAGTTTTATCATATTTAGGAGCAACAGGAATGATCTCCTCTCTAACAAATTTACGCAACATTTCTTGCGTTTCTCTTTGCATGTCATTTAGTACTATATATGCCAAATAAAATTATTTATTAAAGAATGAGATTCTATTTTTATTAGAAAATATTTCTTCTCGATAATGCTTTTGTAAAGAAAAGTTATATTTTTTTCAAATTGTATAGTTATACTTACCAAAGTTATATCCATTAATGTTTTCCGATATCTGAGGGTTAGCTTTAATAGAAAATCTTCTATATATTCTTGAATATATAGTAGCATTGTTGAAGATCTGAAAATCGAATTTGAATGATATTTATTAAAATTATAATAAAATATTTGCAATTATATATTATTTTTGTTTCTTATTTTGTTTTTGTCAATTATCTTAATAAAAATGATAAATTGTCCATTTCATTTTTGGAAAAAACCTTAAAACATATATTTAAAAAAAATGTATAAAACATGTAAATGATAATGGAAATTACTAATAGAATTTAACTTACCTTTCTAAGCAACATTTTTATTTTTTTATATTTTCTTATATTAACTCTTAAATGAATATTTAAATAGTAATAGAGAATTATGTCATTAGAAGATATGTAAATACGTCAGCTAAAACACGTTTAAAGGTCAAAGTACAAAGACAATTGTCTAGTGACAAACAGTCTTATTATACATTTAAATGTAAAACATAAAATGTATTTATGGATAAAAAACACATATCATGTATACGTATTAACATGTAGACTTATCAACAACAGAATGATAAGTACTTTTGTAAGAATAAAATAATATAGTAATATCTAGTAACTTTGAAATATTAGGAATACAAGCTAAAATTCCTACGTACAAATTTTTTAATACGTAAACAAAAAAAAAACAAGAGAGATTGGGTTCTTATCACTTCATTTCCACGTCAGCATATGTATGTAATTTGAATAATGCCTTTGTGTTGGATTCTTTAATATTCACTATACACAAACCCATACTAGCAAGAAAATGAATCAAAGATGGACGAAATTTGTTCGGAGCTGATCATAGGAACAACTTTAGAAAATATATTTCTAGATCTTATCTATGTTAGGAATATAGAGATATTTTCTTGAGTTAGATATTACACGTTTTTAGATGTAAATTATTTATACTTCTAATTACGATTTAAATATAACTCTCCAGAATATACAAGAGATATGTGTGCCGATAGGTCCTATTCGTCGGTTATTATTAAAAAATACATCATCAGTATCAGTTGAATTAAAAATAAAGAATATAATGTTAATGCAAATAATGTTTGGAGAATTTATAATTTAAGTGAATATAATTGGTGAAAATATCATTAATATGTTTTTATTTCTCTAATAATATTAACAATTTTGAACGTTCAATTTTAATACGGTTTAGCGCCATTCTTTGAGCGGGTAATTAAAAAAGAAAAACAAAAGAAAGAAAAAATGTGCAATCGTACAAGTGGTACATATTTTAATATATCGTGAAATTATTCGCAAATTATTTTATTATTAATCATTTAATAATAATATTAATAATAATAATAATAATAATAATAATAATAATAATAATAATAATAATAATAATAATAATAATAATGTACCTATATACAAGTTTTGCATAAATATGGATAGGAAGTGTATAATGTTTATAAATAAAATTATTTATCAGGATGAAATCGTGAATCAAATGAATCGCGTGACAAAAACAATCCTAATATACTTTTCTAATTATACTTGGTTGATATTTTTCTTTTTTTTTTCTTTTTTTTTTTTTAATTATTGTCTACTTGTTTCAAATACTACGTTCTCACCCTTGATTATGGTGCATTAGGGGTTGGTACCCCTGTATAAGCAACTCTTATTTTCTCATTTGTTCTCTACTCTATCGCTCGTGAAATGTGCTTTTGTTGAAAGAAAAAAAAAAAAAAAGAAAAAGAAAAGAAAATGATTTTGATTTAGAAATAATATCTTTTTGAGAGCATAAGAAAATACAGCTACAGAATGAAACGATCGGTAAATATCCGTTAGAACTTTTGATACTTTATATTCATTATTTCAATTATACATGCATCCCCCTATATTTTAGGCTAGCTGATTGAACAATGCAAGCATTATTTTTTATTTAGAATCTCTGTCACAGTTGTAACAATTGTTGTCGTTGGATTAATTGAAAATTTTTGAATTAGAAGCACTATTAAATCATCTTTTTGTATCATATGATTGTGACTTTAATTTATATTATTTTTTTTTACAGCTAACAGAAGAAAATGGAGATACAAAAAGATCATTTGTCAAACAAGAGTCTGTTGCATTTACATACGATGGAACATATACGAATTATCCCTCATCTACTACTTCGGCATCTACTTCTATTCCTCAACCTTTACCAGGACAACCACCATTACCTCCTATGCCTCCACCCCCTAGCGGAGTTCCACCTCCTCCTCATGTTTTTGGACCAGTGCCTTCTCAAGTTACACCGTTACAAACATGGGCACAAGCACCCACGCATTGGCAATGGATAACTCCACATGCCGCACCTTTACCTCAAAGAGAAATTCAACATATTCAAAGAGAAATCGCACTGAGAGGTAACTATATGAGAAGAGAAAGGTTCTCTCACAACAGAAATAACATGCACGTTCAACGAAATATTTTCCACCGTAAAAATAGAAGACTAGCACGATTTGGTCAACCCCAGGGCCAACCCCAGTTTGACCAAGCTGCATATTTTGGTGCAGCTTTAACAAGTGGTCTGGGTTTAGAGTGGCAAAGAAATAATTACACTACGTCGCCGAATGAAACTATTATGAATCATATGTCTGTCCCCCTTTCCAATCATCCCATAACTCCCATAACCCAAGGAATTATAACTGGTGGTAGACATGGAGAAGAAAAAGGAGATCAGGATGTTAAAATTGTATTGGTATGTTAATTGAATTTATTTTTCTTCATTATATAAATTATATATAAATATCTATTGTAGGAAGAGGTAGTGGTTAAAAAGAATAAACAAAGAAAGCCTATGTCACAAAGTTACCCCAGTCGACCGTGGAATCGTGAGGATGCTGAAAGAGCTTTAAAAATTGAAACAGAGTATAATAAGACTGTTAAAGCTCAGAGTTTGATAATAAAATTTCCAGATCCTGATCTTAATAAGGATATTGTCAGAGAATTTCATTCCGGTATACAGAATATTCATTTTCAAAGTCCAAGTGGTCCTAGATATTGTTTTATTCAGATGGCAGAACACGTTAATATCGATGAAGCTATTAAAGAGTTAGAAAAGATTCCTTTTGGTATTGGTAATTTAAAAGTAGAAAGAAAATCTTTACGGGATGAAGATAATCCAATGCCTGAAGAAATCGATCCTTACACTTTGTACATAGGAAATTTACCCGAATCCGTTAATGTGAATGAAGTTAAAAGCAAGTTTCCGACAGCCGCTAGAGTGGACGTTGGTTATGCACAGAAAATGAGAAATACACGGTAAATATAGATATTATATATAATATAATTTATATTTAAGTAATTAATTATTTTCTTGATTATTTCAGATATGCATTCATAAGATATAATAGTGTAGATGAATCAATAGCGGCTTATAAACAGGCACACGATTTGATGTGGGATACAAGAAGTATTATTGTAAGATTCAGAAGACAACGTGGAAATACATGTCTTCCAGGAGAGCCTAAGCCTAATGTAAAGAAAGTTAAAGAAGAACCTAGTAATACTTCACAAGCGAAAGAACAAAAAGTAAACAATAATGAAAAGAAAACAACACAGCAAGATAACAGTAGTGGGGAGAATAGATTGCAAGATAATATTAAGACACAGGGTAAACAAAATAATCAAACTCAGCAGCAAAGTACTGATGCACAATCTTCTCAATTACCTGCATCCGTGACGTCTGTTAAAACGGCACAACAACAACCATGGGCATGTATTATATTGTTCTTTAGGAATATAATTTTTTGTGCAGAAAATGTTCTCATCAAGATTACTATTCCAGACATCGCAATCACCGCAAATACCTTCGGCATCTGAAGCACCACCTCCATGTCCATCAGAAACCGAAACAGTGCCAGAAACGATAATATTAACAGATATTAAAGAAGAACCGGAGGATTATGAGGAAATGGATATGGCATGTTTACCATCTGACGATGCTGATGATGATGACGATGAAGACGAAGAAGATTTAGATGATGACGACGATGACGACGACGACGACGACGACGACGATGACGACGACGACGACGACGACGACGATGATAACGAAGAAGAGGAAGAAGATGAGGACGAGATCGATCATGCTGAAAATTTAATATTTAATACCAAACAGCAGCATACAGTAAAAGATACAGAACCATCTGATGTGAGTATATGCGATAATACTTATATATATATATTCAATGATTATATTCTTATCTTATTGTTTTCTCTTTTATATTAGCATCTTGATCAAATGTTTAATGAACTGGAAAATATGGCAAGCGACATTGGGTTTTAATAACACAATTAAAATCACATTATATGTTATAATGATCTCTAATAAGAAAATGTTGCAAACCATCTTTAACATACCGTATGTAAATATCAATAATTGTAAAACGTAACAGGTGAGACTGCATTTGTTTAAGTACAATATTATAGATTAAGTGAATTTACATATATAAGTTCTCATAAAGTATAAGTTTTTACCAAGATTCCAATTTTAAGTTCAAACTATGCCTGCATGAAATAAATTCATGATGCCAAACGAGTACAATTAAATATCTTACGAATATTTTATTTTATACGAAAGACTTGTTGTATATTATCGTTTTAGTTGCCCGAGAAATCATTATTTTTCTGTAAATATTTTTATTAATAACGAAAGCAACCGTGTCGGATACTTACGCACATAACTAGATTGAAATTGCGCTAGAATTTTATATCTATAGAAAACTATAGAATCATTTTATAGGATAAAATGAATTATAGAATATAATAAATCATTGCGACTATGTTTGCAAGTGAATCTTTCGCATTATGATGTAAGTAGGCTAACGATGATTAACAATGATATCGAAATAAAATTTCATTTGAAATAGTTTATTTAACAATTACGAGTTACCACATTATAATGTCATTTTTCATTAGTAAATATATTTTTACATATAAAAATAACGTATAAAATAGTATACATATTGTTTTATTATTTATTCATTTAATACAAAAATCTGTATAATAATTATTAAAAGTGTATATTCTTAACCCTGCATGAAAATATAAACTTTAACTTATAAATAACATTATTAAGTATATTATCCTTATTAAAAATAAAACTTGTCGAATTAAATCCACGTGTCTTGTACCATTTAAAATAGACGCCATACTTTGAATTTGATCTTTTTGCTCGCTTGAACAATGTTATTTCCGGTATGATGAAGCGCCATCTACTTCCTTTTGTACTTAACAATATTAAAGCGCGGGTAACGTCTATCGTATTAGAGCGTCTCCGAGCGTTATATCTCTTTCATTTTTTCTTTATGTTATATCGTTTTTTAATTGATTAAAATAGAAAATACTTCATTTTAAACAATATGTTTGAAGCACGTTTAGTACAAAGTGCTATCTTGAAGAAAGTTTTGGACGCTGTTAAGGATCTTCTAACCGAAGCAACCTTTGAATGTTCTGATTCTGGAATTCAAGTACAAGCTATGGACAATGCTCACGTTTCTTTGGTTTCTCTTAATCTCAGAAGTGACGGTTTCGATAAATACAGATGCGATAGAAACTTGTCTATGGGAATGAGCATTGCAACGTAAGACAACGAAATTTTTATTTTGATAAAATATCTTGGTTATGTTTATTCTTTTTGATAAAGTAAAGGTCACTTGAGAAATCATTTTTTAAAATCATTGTAATTCAATTAGATTATATCTCGTAATTTTTTGTCATTATATTTTTTGTTCTTTTTGATTTTAAATCCTAATCATTTCTAGGATGTCGAAGATATTACGATGTGCTGGTACAGAAGATACTGTAACATTAAGAGCTTGGGATAATCCAGAGATCATTGTCTTTATATTCGAATCACCAAACAAAGAAAAACTTGCAGAATATGAGATGAAACTTATAAATATGGACCAAGAACATCTTGGTATTCCTGTAAGTCTAAGTTTCCTTCCTTGCTGTTTTTTATACAAACCCTCTATGGTTTATTTCTCGTCGTTTGATTAAATATATTACAGGAAACCAATTACTCTTGCGTTGTTAAGATGCCTTCTCAAGAATTTGCTCGTATATGTAGAGATTTAAGTCAGTTTGGAGAATCAATAACATTTGCATGTTCCAAAGAAGGTATAAAATTTACAGCATCTGGGGATCATGGAACAGGTTTGTATTTTGTGTCTTATCATAACAGTGCATTCCCACCATATATAAATTGTATACTATCCCAATATATTCTATTCGTTATGAGGTAATTACCAAGTTCGCATTACTATCTTAATATCTGAACTCTGATGATTTATCTGATAGTACATTTAGTTTTGATATATATATATATATATATTGCTTATATTTATTATGATTAGTATTAATGTAGCTATGGAAAGTTTTTATTAAAATTTAATTAGGAAGAAAAATTTATATGATTAAAATCTTAAACATGCAATAACCGTTGCCAAATATATAATATTTCTTTAATTATGTTTCAGCTAATGTTAAACTCGCACAAACTGCTGAGGCAGATAAAGAAGAAGAAGCAGTAATTGTTAACATGCAAGAGCCGGTCAAGTTAACATTTTCTTGTCGTTATTTGAATTGTTTCATAAAGGCGAGTCCTCTATGTGCACAAGTACAACTTTCGATGTCCAGTGATGTTCCATTAGTATGCGAGTATAAGATTGGAGAGATTGGTCACATTAGGTATTACCTGGCACCCAAGATCGACGATGACGATGATAATTAGGAAAAAGTGTCTATTAAATTTGTACATGCTGTAATTATCACAATGGTAATATTTTCATACGTTTGATATTTGTTTTTCCAATTCTGACATGGTACCTATCGTCATTGTATTTATTTCACTGCAAAATGTGATATTGTTTCGATATTTTACTTAATCCAAAGTTATTACACATATTTTGATAATAAAAAAGTGAAGTGTATCCTATAATATTGAGGTACAATTAAGGCAAAGTTAAAAATACTTTGAAGATAGTATATTATTTAAATTTTACATTTAAAAGTCATTTGGCTTGTCACAGTGTTAGCGCAATGTTGAATTGACACTAAAGTTCATAGTAGAGTGACACAATCATGATTAACAAGATAAAATGGTGTCATTCTTCAGGTTCATATCATTACTGTTTTGTAAACTGTGACCACTTTTGATAATGTCGCATTTTAATATGTAAGAAGAACTCAATATATTTCCAAAATTTTTGATAAATTTTGAATTATGCGTTATTCTTACATCCTAATCTAATCAAAATTTAAAGTTTCACTTATTTCCTAATGTCTTACATCTTATACCTTTTCGTGTATAAGCTACTTTAATATAAAAATACATAATCAGCTTTACGAGCTGTGGGAATAAGAGGGCTACCATGGATGGAATAGCCTAGAAGTATACAATTAAATCTTACATAATTTGGATCTCGTATAATTACTAAGTAAATAAATATTAATCGTTAAACGTTGATTTATATTATGAATTATTTTACACGCAAGTACTCTCTCTTTCTCTCTCTCTCTCTCGCTCTCTCGCTCTCTCTCTCTCTCTCTCTCTCTCTCGCTCTCGCTCTCGCTCGCGCGAAGACCTCTATATGTGATAAAATCGTTCGTCTCGTCTCTTATTCATGCACCCTTAAACAAAGTTTCTAATCCAACTAATTAGATTTCCGGTGTACGTGAAAAGAGTCGAAGTAGCAATAAAAGAAGATACTTTGGCAATATTAATCAGCCTCTTTGGTTCTAAAGCCCTCATATTGCTTCTTCGTTACCAAAAAAAATAAAAAAAAAATAAAAAAAAAAAAAAAATAAAAAAAAAAGAAAACTGTTCGAAATTGAATGTTTTTGATCCTCAGCACATTTCGAATATGCAAGATCACAAAAGTATTATTCATTAGGATAAAGACAGAAATGTCCTGCTTAATCGATAATCGTTGAACTTTATTGAATTGCGATAATTATTTTCGAGATATCTCCTTCTGAAGAAGAAGTCTTTTCGCATAGATCCAAACGATTATTGTTTTATCGATCAAGTCGATCTTTCTTTATTCACATAATTACTTTTGTCCTTTCTGTTTGTTTCCGACGTAACAATAAATACGTAAACGATGCCATACGATTTACGCGCTTTATCGAGCTTAAAATAAAAAAATGCGTTTTTTTTCTCTTTCTTTCTTTTTTTCTTTCTTTCTTTTGGTATTTCAGAGAAATTAGAAAGAATTTAGCCATTTTTGTTACCGTTACTCCCATACAAGCTGGGATGTACGAATTTGTCATGAAGCGTCCTTAAATGCCTCAATAAATTACTTTTTACGTTAAAGCCTTTTTTACAATAGGAACAAAGAAAAGGCCTCTCTCCCGTATGCGTTCTTTGATGTATTACCATCGATGCGTGACTCGGGAATACTTTTTGACAAATATTACATAATTTTTGATGACTATGTACCCTTTTTGGTTTAGGAGGTGCCGAGTTGTTCATCAAGGCCAATTGTTCTTCCGTGTGTTCCGTCTGTATGTGACGTACCCATTCCTGAGGCGTTGGATACATATTACCGCAGAGATCGCACTTTAAAGGTGGAAAGTCTTTACTATCGTCGTCTACGTCACCCTATGAAAAAGAATACCACCTGCATTTGCATGTCTTAATCGTATCAAGTATAACTTTGCGATAACGCAAACGTTCATCTTATATCTCTTTACCTTCCTCTTCTTTCTTCTATTCTCAGTCATATCGGCATGAGTAAATTCTATATGCCTCACCCAATCCGACGGCCTGTTGAAAGTTTGACTGCACATGTCGCACGTCAACGGAGTATACTCTTCCTCTTCCAAATCACCATCCTCGTCGGCACTGTGTACGATCTCCTAAAAAGATTATTGTATCATGGGCATAAAATAATAATAATAATAATAATAATAATTTATGCATTTCCTAAATGATCAACCAACGATATACTTTGAGATTACGTACTGGTTTGATATCGATCTCATGGTCTATCGTCAAGGATTCGGATGGATCGATACTTTCTTCCCAATCGATTGGCTCGTCCTTCACTAACAGTTCTAAATTTAATTCCGCCTTTGTAGGGGAAAAAAAAAAAATAAAAAAGGAAATGTTTCACAAATCTTGTCGATGTCTTTAAGAAGAAGAGATATAAGAAAGAAGAACGACAAAAGTTATAAAAGTGTCTTCTTACATTTTCACCACCTTCGCTTCTCGACTTGTTAGACTCGACATCGCTGCTAACGCTCTTTCTCGTTTTCCTATTAGCCTCGAGATTTTCCTTATTCTTGTTCTGTTCGTTATTCTTGTTCTCCTCCAAGACCTTTTTAGTTTCAGGTTCACTTGATTTCTCCTCAACCTTTTCCGCATTCTTCCTTTCGACCGGCTTTTGGGCTTGAACGGTATTCTGCGTTGTCGCTGGTTGTTGTACGTTTTCAACGATCTTCTCCGTAGTTGGCTGGACCAGCTTTATCTTCTGTATCTGTCCGGTCAACGGTGGTTGTTCCTTTTTATCACGTTCGACCTTTTGATTGTTAGACTGTATGTTCTCCTTTTTACTACCAGTGTTCGATCTCCATAATCCACGTACTCTCAATATATCTCCAGCCTTTAATACTCCTTCCAATTGATCGTTCGTCACAGTTGCCTCTCCACTGTACATGTACTGTATAAGAATCTTCAGCGTGCGGTAACCGATCTCCGTTGGTAATACCTAAAATCGAACACACGTGAACACGAGCGAAGACGGCCTTCGTACCACGAGATCGTACGATCCCGTTTAAGCTCTGCAAGTGGGATCGATAAAATCTCATCGAGGTGAAATGTGCTTAAGTCACGCCTAAGATCGCTTTAGAAACGACCATTGGATTACGTTGCATCCGATCGTTTTAACAGGAATACGATATGTGTATCAGGTAATTTAAAAAAACAACAACAAAAAATAATAATAGAAAATACTTTCCAATGGATCTCAAACGATTTGTAATAAGTATATTCCATCGCAATAATAATAGAGGTCCTATTCTAGTTTCATTATCGTCCAACCGAAGGATTTAATATGAAAACGATAAAGATAATTTCAAATAAGATGAAATCGTTGTTCGTCGATATCATCGCAACGTTTACAACTTACCACGATCGTCGGGGCATTCGAGTTGGCCCCAAAATGACAGGTTTGAAAGATGTGACTTAGGTACGAAGAGCAGGCTGCAAGGACAAACCGATGTGCCGCCACGTGCCGGCCGCAGGACGTTGCCAGAAGAACATCCGCAAAGGATTCCGAATGAAGGAGCGTCGCGACGGAGCTGTGAAGATGAGCCCCGTAGCTGTGCCATTTCAGTTGATAATTCTCCGAAGCGGCGATGGCCATCTTTTCTGTAGCATGCAAAAGACAAAAGAAAGAAAAATCAAGGGAACTTTCCTCGAGGTTCTTATTTTTCAAATTGTTTCAAAAGAAAAATGTAGATGATGCCTGTTGCACGTTGCACGCACTATTTAGAAACATTTTTCTTGAAAAAGAGAAATCAATCGAGCATCGAACGATCCACCAAATCGCTTTTTTCTATTCGTAAAATTAACCGAATTGTCTCTGAGAACGCATGTCACGCACAAAAAGACGCCCTCGTGGTCTCGCGATCCATCCATCCACCCTCTAACG